TTCACCTTTTTACGACTAAACAGCGGAACGAATATAGATTGTATCACTATGACGGATATTAGCTATCTTTTATCAAAACACATTTTAACAGCAAATAGGCGAAATGTTTATCTAGTATTTCATAGTGTAATATAAGTAAGCATAAATTGTGCTATGGTCTATCCTGGAAACCATTGTATTGACTTCCTAGCAAATTCGCCACGATAGGCTACTGACCTGACTGCAACTTCCTGTCATCCTCGACAGGTGCCTCGTCAGTGTAAACCGTTAGCACAGGCGGGTACACCACTCCATTATCATGCATACAACGACGGCCTCGATGGCCTAGCGGTTAGTACACCGCCTTACTTCCGATAGTCGCAGGTTCGTTTCCTCGCACGGTGTAAACATTTGTATTCATGAGTATGATTGTTTGTATCGATCTAGGTGTTTTCTATGTATATTACGTATATATTTACAAAAAAAATATCTTATCTTAATTATATCTATCTATGTAGTATATATATCAGTTTGCTAGTACCCATAACACAAGCTCAGCTTACCGTGGGAATAGATGGCACTGTATTAATTATCCAGGATTATTTATTTATACAAGAAAAATATGCCCATAAGTGCAGTTACAATGCTACAATTACTGGAAACGCATTCGTTGCACATGATTTTGTCAATTCCGTGTTAACAGGCGGAGAGAGTCTGGTGATAGACGGAGTACTCTCCATTGTTTAATGATTCGTGTTGTGAAAAACGCTCTACATAACGTTTGTTTCGCTTCAGTTTTATTGTTCTTGGTACAAATGTAGCTAATGATCTCGTCTGTTGCTTTGTAGAGGGCGTAGTGTGGAGTAAAATATAAACATGATGTTACACGCAATTTCATCTACCGTTTTTAAAGTAATAGATAAACTATATACGTCCTCTGTATCTTCACGTCTTTCATTAAGATCCGTTTAGCCATTTAGTCTAGAAAAGATAAACAAATATCAAAGAGATAGACACATTTTCCCATTTATAGTATTAGTATGGTTACCTCAGTGCTCACTTATTCAGTAGTCGTGATTTTAATTGTTAATTTATTTTATTATATATACGTACATGAAAAAATAAGTACTTCTAAGCTGACCGTTTTTTCTATCTAGAGATTTTATTTTGTTCTATAATTTGCTAGAAGTTAGAAATGAATATTTATGTATATCTCCACAAATTTAACATAAAAATATATGACAGCAGAAAATGAGAATTTGGATCCTAAAGTAAATTGGAGATCTGTACATTGTGTTGTCAAATTAATAAGCTTATTTTGAAATGCAATAAAAACAGCGAAAATATACTTACATATACAGACAGATTATTTATCTGGTAAAATGTATATGAACATAGGTAAAAAAGTAATTATACATTCAATATACGGGTAGCATGTTTATTAATTCGTTATTTAGAAATCCAAGCGGGCATAACCAGCGCAAGCATGTTGATGTAACCAGCTAATTCGATAGCCTGTAATTACACGGCTGTTTTATGCGCGCACACGTAGCGTTACAGTTAAATTTTGTACAAACATAAAGAAAGCCGGAATGAAATGCTAAATTATAGCCAATACCCAATACTTTCGCTGACCACGCTGTTCACACCGCAGTTGAACGATGTCGGTCGTGTCGATCGGTCAGTATGAAACCACGACCGAAATGTCGGGCGATAGTTTGTCGGACGACTTCGGTGATGCGACAATTAGTGACGACGAGAAGATTATCCTGTAAGATGTGTTTTTTTAACTATTCCATTAGAATTAGTCATACCTGGCTGGAAAATGGGCTAGTGCAGAAGGCATCTTAAACCCGTGGAAGGGGAACCTGATGGATGCAACTCCAGTCTGAAGGCACCTCTAGTGGTGCTCGCGTCCTGCCGCTTATGATATTCATTAAGAGAGTGTTTATTAATACCATAGGTTGTGCTTTACATATATCATAGGCTTGAATTAGATTTGTGAATGTCGTCTAATTAAGTGCTGATATTAACCAACTTAACACTAAACTAGCTATTTAAAGGACTGAATACAATAGCACAGTGTTATTGTGGTTTAAATAACGTTCATAACAGTGGTAAGAACACGTAATTTGTTAGAACACAGTTTGCACTGTTTACCAGAACATTTGATACAAATTCGTCTGCGTTTGTGCTTTTGCCTCACCTATTTCTACCGTAAATCAATTTTCTTTATAAACTTTACCTATTCCAGAATTAAGGAGTGAAATATTGAAGTAAAATTACTGAGTCCTCAGGTGACAACGCATAATTGTTAAAAGTACTACAGGATTCACAATTTCTCTTGTGATGAAGTCCTTGCTATTGTTCATATGTTATGACTTTATATGGAGTTAGCAATATGATTATAAATGTTTTAATAAATTTTGGTATATATATTAAAGTATTCTATAATTCGTTAACTGTCGATAGGGCCAACATTTCTAAGATTGTTAAATATGAATATTGTATTATGCAACTTACCTTAATTATACTGCAGTTATAGTATCTATGAATAAAATAAAAATATTTCTCTCTGTCTTGGACGTAACGTAAAACTGGTAAAACGTAACGTAAAGATCATGACCCACGATCACGCCTTAATTCACCATAAATAAATAATCTATCGTCGTAAATTTTGATAGACTTATTTGATTTTGTGAAAATTTAATGAATTGTGTAAAATATTTTAATTATTTTAGTATATATAAATAGTCTATAGTAAAAAAATAAATTATGATATTAATTTTTTTATACACTACTATTCTATACATATACCGATTTTTCTGTAGTAATTTTATGCCACCAAGTATTTATTTGTTATTAAGGCCGTAGCGTAGTTTTAACAGCTTTTTCTACATAAACTAAGTTCTATATTCGATTCTCAATCTGTCTAATTGCGAGAATAACGACATGACTTACCAATACTTGAAAAAACATAATTGTTACACGAAACTCGTCATATCGTTTCACGTAGAAAACTGTGAATTAGATGAATTGCAAATGTGAATATTTTAGCATCTATTACTTGTTAACAAAGAGACTATCTCTGATTGTTGTTCTTTTTGTATGTCTAATACCATAGTGATGAATATAATATAACTATGTTATAGATATTTTTTATGTATTATTATTATTATTGGCCTAATGGTTTGGTACCATAAGAGGAAAAGAGGTTGTGAGTTCAAATTTGGTCGACACTAAAAAAAACTATATGTCAATTTATCGGTATGTAGTCTATCTAGTGTTCACATGGTATGCTTATCAGATATACTCCTGAAACAAATATAGTTAGGTATTTGATAGACTAGAAATTTTCTTCTCTAGTTAATTTAGATATTTTCTTTTTTTTTAGTATAATAAGTAATACATTTGATATAAAAGATTATAATATTTTCTCTTGTAACTGCATAATCACACATCCCTTACACAAACATATGTCATTATTGAGAAAACCGCAAAATTTAAAAGGATTTTTTAGGATAATATGTAAAATAATAGTAATACATTTGATATAAAAGATTATAATATTTTCTCTTGTAACTGCACAATTACACATCCTGTTCCGGCAACGAACAACAATTAGACACGACACTGCGCACGCGCATCGGTCGGTGTTAGCGAATAGTTATACAAATGGTTGCAACGCACCGGTGCATTTACATCGAATGCAACTGTTTCCGCTTGTTTGCCGAATAAACAATACCTTATATTTGCATATAATAGTGTATAATAGTTTGGGATACGCTGACGGCTAGCGAATTATGGTTAAATCCATTATTTCTCTTAGATATACTTCTTATACTCATCATTAAGTAAAGGAGGAAATTGTATTTTATTTCTATAGGAAATAGTTATAATTTTAACAAATGATATTTTGCCAAATATACATCTTTATCTTGTTTATACTACAGCAAAATACTTTGTTGTATGGAAAATAAACTCCGGAATTCCTTCACCGATTTGATTTTCTTTCGCCATTTTATACGAATCTCATCAAGAATGATATAGGCTATATATTACAATGTAACTCATAAAGTTATGTTGATAATGGTCGGCTGAGTTAGGCTGCGCAGCTTAAGTCGCCTACTTAGGTGAATACTAGTCACTAGGACTAGTTATATTATAATATAATTTGATTATTAAAATTATACAAGTACAAGACTAAGTGTATACAAAAACTACGTGTATTTAATTTATTGAATTTAAAATAGGTTATTTTAAAACAGTTAAGCCTGCTTTTAATCTATGCAAATGAAAAGCAGTTGCTTAAATGTACATAAACATAATTACTTTAGAATGACTGCACCTGTTTGGCTCATACGTTTTTTTTTTGTTGTTTGTAATCGTGATATACAACGTTTGCATGGAAGAAAATATTTGAGAATTTTTTCGGAAAAATAAAAAAATATGTATTAAAATATTTCATTATATATGTAATAGCACACATACTCACTTTACAAAGCATTGCAATAAATTATGGTCGAAATTCATGTCATCTAGCGTTAGACCTACAATGAGAATTACTAGCAGTTTTTATATTCGTTTATCCATATTTAAAATATGAGAGTTCTTTTTATACAACTGTTTTATTATTACTTCTGTCACTGCGCTCTGCAATAATAAACGTCTCTACAAGCATCTCTCTATTTTCATTCATTTTTTCTAGCAACAAATACCTGTTTATGAGAGCTTGTGTTATGAATTTTGGACAACTGATACAAATACTAAATACATACATAACATATCTACGTAGAGATCATCCAGACCAATAAGAACACAAATGTTTGCATCGTACTCCGACCATCGAAAGTAAAGTGCTGTACTAAGCTGATAAACCACCTAGCCCGTCGAACATTACATAGTCCTATAGTAATATATACATTTTCTCAATGTACCGTGCAAAAATTAGTAAACTATAATATTTACTAAAATTGCTAGTAACAACAAAATGTATTCATAAATATCCTCTCCAATTTCAGATTAGAAATACTAAAAGCGGATTCGTCGCTAAAGAGCAAGGCGAAACGGAACGAGTGGACATGGAAAGCGCAGACCGACGTGGTGAAATGGCAGGCGACGCCGCTACGCGCGCCACTGTTGCGGCTGCCGCCCGCGCTGGCGCCGCCAGCTTTAGAATGCTTCACGTGCGTGCGCGCATACTGCGGAGACCTCCAGCCCGCTGAGAGGCCGATGCATCAGGACTTGACTGAAGTTAAATGTGTTTATACAGTACTTATGGTGAGTTCATATACCTTTTTTTATTTTGATAATCTTAGACTTTTTAACGAACATACGGGTTACTTGGTGGTAAGTGGTAACCGCCGACTAACTATTTGAGCAATTTAAATAGCAGAACGGACAAGATTTTATTTTATTTACCCATTCACTCATGACTTACTTAATCTTAATGAATTGTGCAAGTTAGTAATTTGTATTCACACATTCAACTTAAAAAGGTAAAGTTACAACAATTATTTAAAAGAACAACAGTTTCTGCTCGTTCTTCTTGTTATGAGACAGCTTACTGAACTTAAAGCGGTAGATTAAAAAAAAAGCATGACTGCTCAAAAGTGCTTAAATTTTTGTTTATTTGAATAAAGAATGTTCTATTATATTATTTTCACAGCATTGCCACTCAGTACCGGAACTCCGAGACGAGGTATACTGTCAGCTTATGAAGCAGACCACTTCGAATCGGTCGCCGGCGCCCGACTCCTGCCAGCGAGCCTGGCGACTCATGTCCATACTCGCTGCCTACTTCACATGCTCTGACACACTCAGGTAATTTTAAGTTTGTAATTTTGTTATGGAATTTTATGTTTAATTAGTTGGTCAATAGAGTACAGTTTTGAAGTTAGATGCTGACGTCGTTGATATTTTATTTTAATAATTTACTGATACAGTATGTAAGAGAACCGTACAAACATAAAACACGTTCACGATAATAAAGTTTTTGTAGAAAAAACTTAAAATTCATAGCGCCGACAATATTATGTGATTGCACTAAGAATAAGTTCTTAGCGGTTTCTATGTTGATTATCGCATGCCTCTTACTTGTTATTGTGTAATTATTTATTAAAAAAAACATTTATTCAAAAGAGCATAAGACAAGTTTCTTGCTCATACTTCTTGTAATGAATCTGTGTTCCGAATGAATGGTAGAATAAAAAAATATGACTATTCAAAAGTGCTTATATTGAGTTTATTTGAATAAAGATTATCTTTATTTCTGTACTTAATTTTGTTCTATACAGCCAGTAATATAATAATATAATAATTCCAGTTTAATTTTATCCCTTAACCCACAAGACGTATTTGCTCACTTTGGGAACGACTGCATAGCTACCTAAAGATATGTACAATCTTTATTTTATATATTTAAAGTCAGTAATATCATTGTCAAGGATGCTATATCTTTTTTCGAGTGACTCCACTGAAAATCAACGCTGCAGTGACGGCCCTTTCAGCTCATAGCGCGATATTAGCTTTTAAGTGTTCTATATTTTTACTCTATATGCTGAATAAATGATTATTATTACAATAATTACTACTAACTTTATATATTACAGGCCGTTCCTTGTGGAATACCTGTCGGCGGCTGCGGCAGACCGCAGGCGGCCGTGTCAGGGCACCGCGGCCGTGTGTCTCGCAAACTTGAGGAAGACATTAAGATGCGGCGGACGAAAGAACGTGCCCAGCGTTGAAGAGGTACATACGGTCTTTTGCTATTTTTTTTTTCTTTTTTTTTTGTATCTGTAATGGCAAACTAGCTTACGGTTAATATGCTTTATAGGGAATGGGAACGGTATCACCAATGTTCACCATGTTTTGCCGTTCCTGAAGAGTATGCTTACCTTGCAAAATCTCTGCCATATTCATATGATTTTTGAATTTTGAACAAGAAAAACATGTAGTGTTTTTCTATGCGAGTAGTTAATAGATAAAATAAATAATAGAATAGTTAAAAAAAAGTTGTACGGGTAGTTAGGTATTGTTGTATACTCACAACAACACCTAACTAGAGGTACAACTTTTTTTATTCTTATTTTTACTTACACAAGTCAAGTACAAGACCTTACTTGACATATTCAATTTTAAGAGATTGCTCATAATAAAGAAGCTGATGTCCATGCACAGCACAGCTATCACTACAGTTACCACTTCGTTGTGACGACCGTGGTACTCATCCGTCTCCATTCCTTTGAACTTGGTATACCCCCTCATTTTCATGAATCTACATGAAATAATCGTTTTGTGAGTAAATATATATGCTATGTATAGGTCACAGCGGTGTCAGCGGGTCGGTCGGCGCGACGTCAACTGTACCGGCTACCGGGCGGCGCTGAACGAGTGGTCAACACGCGCTGCGCCACCGTCGTACAGGACATCGTCAACGAACTCTGCGACCTTGTTAGTATACGTATATTTCGCTACGTATGTTTTATTATTATTATTATAGTACGTAGTCACGAATAACTGGATCGAAGTACCGTGTCTGTACTTTGTAATTCATTTACCTATATTATTTAGAGATGTAGAGTGATTGTAGTTACTCTTAGTTACTGCTGGGATCTTGTTAGTACCTTCAGTACTTGATTCTTCAAGTTAAGTAGTTATTATAGTTACTTTAATTAAAATAAAAATCAAATAACTTTATTTAAGTTTAAATTTATTTACATACAATAATGTTAAAAGAATAACGATAAAGAAACTATCTAAAGAGTCTTATATTTTTTTAGTATGGTAAATTTTAAAGTTTTTGAAATAAATTTGACTGTTGCCAGAGGGAGCTGCAATGTTAGTTATGGTATCATTAGTACCGTTACTAACAATCCCTTATGTGCTATAGTACAAATTTGACATTACCTATATATTGTCAGCTTTTTCCAATTTTTAAATAGGTTTCAAGATCTATAGGAAATTATTATTACTCAGAAAGGATACAGGTTACTCAGAAATAAAACCCCAAAACTAGCAATATACATTATTATGGTATCATTAATCCCATTACTTACAAGACCTCAAATGGTAGTACTATTTTAATTGTGATTTGCACTGTAGATCGGCGTGTCGAGTGAGGGTGAACGCGCGGAGTTCTCGCTGTACTGCATCGTGGCTGGCGACGCGCTGACGATGCCGCTGGCCGGCGACGAGTACGTGCTGGACGTGACCACGGAGCTGCAGCGCGCTCATCACCCCTTCTACCTCATCTTCTGCCGTTCCGTATGGCATCATCCACTCAGGACAGACGCGCCACCGCTCTACACAGAAGTTCTATTCAACCAGGTCTGTTGCCTTATCTTTTTCTATTTGTTATTTCAAATTGCTTTATGCCAGTGTCTACGTATCCCAACGTGGGATCTTACTAACTTGTAACTATTTTGGGGAATTTCTAACCAAATTTTCCAAGACTATTAATTTTTATATTTTAACTGTGGTAATTGCAATACAATTGTTACGGTTTATGTATTAAAAACTGAACCTATTTGTTATCGTGAAATAATTATAATAATTTTACACACAATAAATTTAATAATGCCTTCTTGAAAACGCCTTATTGTAACTTATATATGTTGTTTAATATATTGTTTACGTCTTTTCTTTACTGTCATTCGAGCCGGACAAACGAGTACAAAAGTAATGCATGCGGTCCTATAAAGTAATCAACAATATGATTTTTCGAGCCGAACAAACGAATTCAAAAGTAATGCGTGTGGTAGGACCACTAAAAGTAAAGTAACTAGCAATATGATGCTTCGAGTCGGATAAATCGGAATTAAGCTGAATGGTTGTGTAGTGGTAACGTGTGTGGTCATATAAATTAATCAGGAATATGATCCTTCGAGCCGGATAAACCGGAATAAGACTGAAGGGTTGTGTGTCGTCAGGTGGCGCCGGACTACCTGGAGGGGCTGCTGGTGGTGCTGCCGGGCGGCGCGGCGCCGGCGGCGGGCGCGGTGCGGGACGCGGCGCTGGTGGCGGCGCTGCTGCACCGCGCGGCCGCGCTGCCGGACGCGCCGCACCCGCGCGACCTCAAGTTCCTGCTGCCCAAGCCGCTGCTGGCGCTGCGCGAGCCGCGCCCGCAGCGCTGGGCCGCCTGGGTGGCCGCAGAGTGGCCCGCCGCCAGCCACCTCGCGCCCGCCGCCGCCAAGGCCAAAGTGCTCCAGGTACCGCCATATGGTCCAATTATACCACTCTCCAAATCGATACTCCAATTTTTTTCTTCAGACGGAACACATCTACTGGAAGTTGGCCATCATCATGGCGATCTTAACTTTGTCCACAGCTGCTTTGAACAGAGATCTTATGCTAATCCCGAACAAGTCAAAGACCGGGCAAGCACGCACGTCATGGCTGAAGAACTTAAGACAGTTATGTTCTTCAGCCATCACGTGCGGCGCTTGCCCGGTCTTGGTCGGCCCTGAATTTTTCCTTGAATACTCCAATAGACTATTGCTATTGAGTAAATACAATATGTGCATTATGACTAGAGCACTCATTCGACACTGCAATTTGAATAAACAATTGGCAAACTTTGGCCTGAGCTCAACAACAATCTGCAAATTTTGCCAATCTGAGGAGGAAACGCCACTACACATCCTATGTGGTTGTAAGCCACTCAAATGCATAAACTAATCTTTCTCCCTCCTTTGGAAAGTATACACTCTACCCTGAGGAGATACAATCCATAACTCTTAAGAGCGATATAAGTGTATCTAGGATATTCTTAGGAATATCCTTCAATTCTTGTCCCTGACGGGTCTAGGTAGCTTTTAAAAGGACGAATAAAATAGAAATCTTAATCAAATAATAATGATCATAACAGGTGTTGTCCCGCTGGCCACTATTCGGCTCGTCGTTCTTCGCGGTGCGGCGCGTGACGGGCGGCAGCGCGGGCGAGTGGCGCGAGCACGTGCTGGCACTGAACCGGCGCGGCGTGCACCTGCTGCACCCCGCCACGCACGAGACCGACACGCACTGGCCCTACAGCGAACTCATCTCCACCAGGAAGGTGAATACCATTCACATTATAAATATATTACAACGGGATTTAACACGAATAATTTTAAGATAAATAAAGGTGACCTCTCGATGTTTGTACTAAGTTGCACTAATCGTAGTCACGAGCTGACTGGAGAGGTAAATACATATATTTACTATAGAATTATTATTACAACCGGTTTAACTATATTTATAAGGTAAATACCGATCTACACCACACCACCTCGTTTGAACATACTTATATGACTGAACATACTATAACTTTTCATTTTTTCAATGCCAAATAAGCAGGCGAGCTGATGATATGTGGTAATCATCTCCAATTTACATCAACAGTTATCATGTGACGAGACCACATATGTGTTGTCATTCCGGAGAACCAAGATGTAATGCATCATATCCTGTTAATTTCCGATAAATTTCTGATACTGAAGAAATATTATTCGAAAATTTGAAGTCAATTCGCTACAAAACTTCTCCCGTTATACACAATTTAGTATACTTGATGATAGAGTGCTAAAATTTTCATATTGTGACCAGGTGCGGTCAGAGGACGGCACGCTGTTCCTGGACGTGAAGTGCGGGTCGCTGCTGCAGCAGCGTGTGACGCGGCTGCAGGCGGAGCAGGCGCACGAGGTGGCGCGGCTCGTGCGCCAGTACGTGGCGCTGCAGCGCGACCAGCGCCACGACGCGCGCCTCGAGCACGCGCACTCGCCCACCGCAGACTACTGGTTAGTGTCTCTCTCTCTCACACTCTCAGTCTATCTCTCTCTCTCTCTTTTTCCCTCTCAGACTGTCTCTCGCTCTCTCTCTCTCTCTCTACACTGCTGCAGCAGCGCGTGACGCGACTGCAAACGGAGCAGATGCACGAGGAGTCGCAGTCAGCAGCTGGATTCATCTTTTCACCTCCTTTTCCTGATACTGCAATTGTAGGAGAAACACGATAACACGATATCATAGCAAAAAAAAAATGTTTAACTAAACAAAGGATAGCCTATTTCCTTCTCTACATCTCCAAATACTACGCGTCCAATTTTATGATGATTCGTTAAGTAGAATGGCGAAATAAACAAACTCAGTGCCTACGTGTATTTGTAAACTGAACTCTAAATTCAAACCATTAAAGTACTATCCAGCTACCACAGGAAACAAATGAGTAAAGAAATGATACCTCAAGATGTATTAAAATATTGTAATCATATGTAATGCAACAGTGGTGAAGTGATTACCCATTACGCTACATCACTGTCGTATTTTTATATAATTCTAAGAATTTCATTTTTGTTTCAGATATCAACATCCAAATACGTGAATGTGCCTTCGTGACCTAAAACATGCCAACCATTATTGCTATAAATAACGATTGTGTATGTTAACCTCAACAATTCCGTCCTATATAGATCTGAGATGTCCCTTACATCAAACATTAATTAATTTTACAGTTTTTTGTATATTAAGATCTGACTAAAATGAGAATAGGATTGTTAGGGCTCAAACTCGCTATTGAATACAGCGATTAATATTATTATACTTCTATTTTCATTTTGGTCAAAATATCATAGTGTTAAATTTCGAATATTTTAACGTTAGTTATTCAACATGAGTATTTTTATGAGAACATTCCAACATTGTTGTTGTTATCAAACATTTAGTATAGCGTTTCGTGTTGTAATCAAATATTTAAATCATATATAAGTATCTAACTAACTATTTATAAAATACTATTAGTTGTTCTCTGTATCTACTGTTTTTAATCTGTCGCATTCTGTTTTCAAAAATACACTTTACTGTTTTTAATCATTTTTCTCGCGGTTATAAAATAAGTATTTGAATATAGAACAACATAAGAATTGCAAACGCCAAACAGAAAAAAATAAAAAAATTGATAATAAAGAAAAAAAAGAGTCACATTTCTATTTTTAAGAAATCCTACAGTAGATACACTTTTTTATTATTGTATATGAAACACGTTTAATTAGATGTAGATAATAAATCGTGAATATTTTGTTGCCTTTGGAATTCGTATTATGTTCTAAATAGTATTGTTATTTCCAACAACAAAATGTATTTAATTCTACGTTACGATTAACGAAAATTTTGCGTGCCTTACTTCGAGTGACTGTCCTCCACAGATTCTAATGAAAGGTGCTATTGTAGTTATAACGGTTTTGTACTTAAAATGAATTTATATTGAATTGCACGTAATGGATTTATCCAAAGACCGTATAGGTTGGAGTCATGTTTAATAACACATTTAATTATAATGTATGTCATTGTCATGTAATATATTTAAAAAGATTAATCGATGTATAAGAATTATAATGTAGATACCAATAAAAGTTATATTTTTTAATCTGTTCTTTTCATTTTATTACTATTATTTTAAACGAGTTGATCAATATATGAAATTATTTTGTCAATAAATGAATAATTATTTAGTATTCTAAAGCCTTTAGAGCTTAAGCATATAAGGAATTTTTATCGGCGGAAATCTAAGTTTCCTGCTACTACAATGAATTTTTAGCCCCTAACAAAAAGAGAGGAGTATTATTTTGAGTTTGACGTGTCTGTCTGTATGCCTGTGACATTGTTGCTCTTAAAAATTCTTTCTTTCTTTCAATCAAGGTTGTTTTTAATTGCAATTTATTAAAATTTGTAGAGGTGATTCAAAGTCATCAGCTGTTATTTTGCTTTTAGATTTTAATGTTTATGCCAGGAGATAACTAATAATTGTTAATAAAAATAAAGTATTGTTAATTATATTACTTGTTACTACGTTTCGTTTTGAACATAAAAGTATGCCAAGAATCGAAGTCCTAGTTTCAATATGATAAAGATTGACACTCTAACAAACCTTCCACTCCTCTCGTACCTTATTTGGGTCAATGGCAATCACCACGATAGACCAACATCATACTCATTCTTTTTAATGCTTTATAATTTCTATTTCCATATTATCAATAAAAAAGAAATATTATTTATTTTTAATTTAGATTTCGAGTTTCTATTTATATAATTTTATTTCAATAGATTCCTACCTAAAGGACTATTCTGAGAAACAAAACAAATTAAAACTAAATTAACCATTCATAAAGTCATTTAGAACAATTATAAATCGAAACAAAAAATAAGTCAAATCAAAATAACAAAATAATAATTTCGTATCCACAGATAATTAATTGTAACTTAAGAGACAACACGGATGTTGTGTACGTATGTTTCAGATCCTCTTGTTGTACAATTTTTTTACGGTGTTTACGTATTCAGAGAGGCGGATCGACTATGACTAATTATTTTCGCGTCTTCGTCATAGTGCTTACAATACAAAGTATCTAAGGGTTGTCCAATTAAACATTACTTTTTTTCTATTAAGATTTTTCTTTTTTATTCACTTCCACGCAACGGCTTAGGTGGTCTAGTGGTTTAGCATTCCATTTTAGTTCCGATGGTCGCGGGTTCATTCTTCAGATGGTGTAAACATTTGTATGCATGAGTATGATTGTTTGTATCAATCTGGATGTTTTCTATGTGTATGTATTTACAAAAAAAATGTATTTAAATGCTTCTACCAGTTGTTTATTACTCAAAACTCTGCTCTGCTTTAGCTTGGGGCTAAATGGCGCTGTTAAAATTGTCTTAGGTTATTATTATTATATACACTAACAGCAACACGGAAACCATATGAACAACGAATAGCGGGTATCCGGGAAAAAAGCTCTACTTTAGCTTGGGACTAAATGGGTCTGTTGAAATTGTCCTCGGTTATTAATATTATTATAAACTTTAACAGCTTTACGGAAACCATATTAGCAACAATTGAGGGGTGTCAGGGGTGTGACAAGATGATTCATGTGACGCCCCAAAAGCCCTCATTCATTACTATGACGGGCTACTTGCTTCGCTTACAGTTTTACTGTATCGAAAGTTTAGTTTTATACTTTCAACCATCATAGAATATATATTTATATAATCTGTCACACTTTTATACCTCCTTCCCTGCGTCCAAAGTATAGAATAATACTTTCAACCATCAATGAATTAATATTATGTACTTTTTTATTTATATTGAATATGTCACTTTTGTGTCTCTGAAATGTTTCTTGTGTCAATGTATAAACCATTATTATTTTAATATTTTATCTGCTGTCTAAATTTCTATGTCCAAAACACCGTCACTCTTCAACTACAATACAAGAAATAAGTTACACAGTGGTGTCGAGGACTTTGTCAACCTCAGTAAAAGTACATAATATTATGTTATCTGTGCTAAAAGTTATAGATAAATTAGACCACATATGTCCACTTTCCGGCTAGTCTTGCATCACCATAATGTCAGTCGTTTGAGTTACATATGTATACAAAATGTCAGCTAGAACGGATGTAAGGAAATGCTTTAAAATTTGATCACAAAGTAACAGCGGAAACGAATATAAAGACTGTATGAAGCTTCTATAAATAAATTGTGTGATTTAGGTAAATGTTTACTGATACACGATCCACATATCCGGATACGAGAAGCAAGAAACAGTGCTATTTCTGCTTTAAGTATTAATACATTAACATTACTTATTATAAAACTTATTGGTATCGGAAAACTGGTTCGAAAGTTATAGATTCGATAAAACCTGTTTTCTTTTCTGTCGAAGAATAAAATACATAATAATTTATATTATTATTACTAATATTGCTATTATATTACCATTGCTAGTAGTGTATTGTAGCAGTTTGACCTCCACGTTGTTCCCTCTGGAAACCATCATGAAATCCTGGTGAATTATGCCAGAATGGGCTATCTGACCTGACCTCATGTTCATCCTATACTCCACCGCCAGCGTAAACCGTCAGCGTAGGTGGATGCACCATTCCACTATCAACCATAAAAAATGTACATCATAGACGTGTAACTTTACAAAAGTGGATTTAGGGCAGATAGACACAAAAAGAGACTTTGGTTTTATGTTCCTGCCTCAGCTTAATGCGAATATATAGAGTATGAGATGGAGGTCGTAATGTAGTATTACATCTTACGGAAGAATTTCTATAAATAATAGTGAAAACTGTATCAAAATCGGTTGCGTGATTTGGAAGAAGCTTAAAACCACAAAAATTGGTATTTGACCGTTTTAATATAGATTAACCTATGATTTATAATACATACGTATAACCCCATAACCGTAAATACATAATATAATATAATAGTTCAGTTCCGAGTACAACAAATTGTTTATGAAAATGATATAAGACCTGAATGTGATCGTGACTTAATAAATGTATAAAAAGTAATTGTACTTTAAATGTTATTAAATATGTTAATAAAACACATATTTTATTATGATATTTACTTTACAATTGGTTTACATTTTAATGTTACGAAATATACTTCACTAATAAAATGTCTAGGTTTATTGACAACCCTATTGAAAAGGAAACATCAGCTGACGACTGCTGTGTGTGAAGGTTGTCGGTCAGTTCCCACGGCGCTGCCATAAAATAGTGTCCTTTGTTAGTCTTACACCTCAAGGCTCACACACTCCATACGACAATATTATGTATGACCCCGTGCCGAAAGTGTTAACTACGTCATTGGTGTTAATACAAAAAAAAAAAAGTGTCAGCGTCAATTTTAAAAATGGAAATATATAATTTGATTTTAGAAATTGGCATTTATAGTTCGGATAATAGAAAAAAAAATTTTTTTACCTATTGTTCTGTAGCAAACATACAAGGTACCGACCTATTTAAATTATAGATAAATCTATAAATGTAAATAAAATTGAAGTGTCTGTTTGTAATATTGAAATAACCGTTTTTTACTACATGCATATGAATATAAATATGTACATACACCAAAATAACATTTTTTACAATTTTTGTCTGACTGTCTGTTTGTTCCGGATAATCTCTGAAATGGCTGGCCGATTTTGACGGATCTCTTTTTGACAGGTATCTGATTTAATAAGGATAAACTTAGGCTACTTTTATTTTAGAAAAATAAATTTAAATTCCACGCGGACGTAGTCGCGGGGACAGCTAGTTAAAAATAATCTTGACTGTTCTGATATCATATCAGCTACGCTTGACATATTTCTCTGAGTACTGTGGGAATATTTCACAGTACCTCATTTTCGTATCCAACGAGACGAGATGAACATATCACCTCGCTGTATACCGAATTATTTGCTATTTTACTGATGTCTCCATCATCGGAAAGATAGTAATATAAATAGACACACAGTTTTTGGTATCAAGTACATACCTGACGCTATAATACGAATTTTTCTTTTACTACCACCATATTAAGTCAGAGGCACTATCATCAATCGACTTTGTGGTAAATACATACTTGATGTGCCCACATTCACTCAGTATACCGAAAGCTAAAGTAGCAGGAAGTCTTTGAGATTAATTTAGTTTCTTTGATTTCTTAGTGGTCAAATTAAATTACACTGAGTAATTTAGTTTGACCATAACCGGAAAGGTAGTCTGAAATATTGCACAAAATGTTATTTTGACATCGGCAAAATTTGAACTCGCGACGTTTCTCCGCAAGTCGAAATAGTCAACCACTACGCCGTAACGCTCTCTACAACGAAATGTACCTACGCGGAAATTAAAACTGGAGTCATTACTTCTGTGTAATGTAACTATACTACATTAAATAATGGTATGGTCACCAAACACCGTGGGAACTTAATACATCAAAATATGAATGACTCATATTATTCATATTTTGTAATTAAACTTTATGTATGTACATATAGCTAGTGTGACGACATAC